GTGTCTAAAGGAAAAGGCTAATGATATCACTTCAAAAGTCATTATTTATAAATCTAAAAAACAAATGTAAACTAACAGTATGTTTAGCTATCTGATCTGTTTGATTTGTAGTCGCTGTTAGCAATTAAAAACAGTATTTATTACAAATGAATTAATATTTAGGCATACGTACATCATATTACGGAAATCCGCTTCACCCGTCGACCGTGTTGCTGCAATCAAAGGATTTCTTCGCATTGTTACAATCGCACAGTTGACTTATCATCACGTTAACTGGAAAAAAATGTTTCGTCTCGACAAAATGCGAACCACTCCCACTGAGACACTCCCTCGTTTCACTGGAAGCCGAGCTCCGTTACACACTCTCTAGACAATCATTCTATCAGCACCAGAATTGAAAATGCGAATAAGACTCATTATAAGCCAAAGGGCATGTGTTAAAGCATTTAAATTTCATCAAATGCATTTATTTTATAGTTTTAATTTCTCATTTGAATACGTAAATTGAATCAAGGAAACCATTTTAGTGTCTGGAAACTCGTTTGTCAGTAACTAACTCCAGACAAATCCATTACTGAGTGTTTCACGAATTTGAAGAAGCCATTTGTAAATTAGGAAAAATCCATTGCCGGTAATTCGCGAATTGTGAGACTTGAATCAATTGTGAATTATATGATATCATCATTTGGCCTAATTCAGGAACCCATTATAAGTCACCTACTACCAAAATCATGCGAAAAACCACTTGCAAATTACTTATTTGGTAAAACCATTTGTAATCCAGGAAATAAAGAAAACCATTTCTACGTCATAGCTTTGGCGGGTACCAACTGATAGATACCAATAAAACGTATTGAATACGTCATTAACTCCCATTTGGTTAATTGACTCCCATTCAATAAATGGGAAAATTTTTGGGGGAAGTTCGTCCTCAATTGATCTTTTGATGCATAAATAAATCTAAATATGATAAAACGATAAGATGAGAAGTGACGTATGATATTTTAGTATTCAGTGTGTGGGTGGGCGCGTTTGGCGCGTTTGATGTCTAGAATTTAAAACACACAGGGATCCCAGTTCACGGTTTGGATGGATAATCCCTCTTCATTCAAACATAAAGCAATACTCCAGTTTCGAGTTCTCTTTTGCTCAGCCTTAGACTCAGTTGTGCGTTAAAATATTCAGCTATTAAACCAAAACCCGTGGCATTTTAATCACCTCATATTGTTCCGTAGTACGTACATTCCTTACTATACAATGGGTTAATTAATGAAAATTTGCAGTACACAATCGAGGCTAAGACTGACCAAAGGCGAACTCGAAATGAGATTATTAATAGGACGATATAACTTATGGTTACAGTAAGAACAGTTAACCGTGAACACGGTTTTTTCAAGTTATTGCTTTCTGAACCCTACTGTTTGAAACCGTCTAGAATTTAGTTTTAGTTTGAATATACCGTGATCAAAATAAATGATATTTCCAATCGATTGTCACTAAACTGTTGATTTCTAGTAGACATTTTAAAGTAACCAAAACTTAATGTAATGAATGCTTTTCCCTCGTTTAATAACGATTAACGTATTGACGTACGGTGAAAATGAAACCCGGGCCTAAGGATATTTGAAATCGGGGATCCAAACACCACATATTCTAGGCGAACGGGCTGTTAAATCTTGTTTTACCAAATAAGGATGAAAAGAGATTGTTGCTGGCTCAGATGTGCTTCCTAGTCCTCTACGGTCAGGGTGACCAATCTGATCAAGTCAGCTCTTAATTAAGTTAAGTGAGTTTTCTACACAAAGATCTAGTTTCGTTTCGTTTCTATTCGTTTCGTTTCGTTTCGTTTTGTTTGTTGTTGTTTTTTTCTTTTTGTCCTCATACTGGTTCAAGGGTCCAAAAGCAAAGTTAAACCAAGCCACTAATTTAATAAAAAAAATTAATAATTTGATAACAGCTTTTGTTGGATATTGAAGGAAATATGGTCGATCAAGCGGGAAGGGTGGTTGCGTGATCCGGCATCGAGACGCATGCAGAGACCGTGCAGAGAGACGGCTATCAAACCGAAACGGTGTTCCAAAACAGTCTGCCCAAACGAGCTTGGACCCCTTTGTCACTTTTTGAGGTAATAATTTTTGTACAGGCAAAATCTTGTGATTTCTAACCGGAGAGTCTATTTTATTGCTTTCTGTCTTTGGCAACGAATTCAATCTTTCTTATCTTTATCTTTTCCCTATTTCTACAATACCTTTTACCTTTCACTCATTTTTTCCTTGGAAATGAAAACCACTAAATCAGTGGTTTTCTAATCAGTGGTAATCTAACAAATTATCGCCTCTTTTTCTTCCTACGAAATACATACATGTCGTAACAAGTAAACCACTTCCAATGGAAGGGAAGGGGGTCACAGTTGTTCCCAGTTATCTTGAGTAGCCAGGTATACTCTATTCTAACAGTGATAGCAATATCTGATAAAACTGGAAGAATTGATTTCTAACGTCTGAATTGTCCTCACAACAGCGAGAACCAATAACAAGAAAGTACAGTGATAATGGTACATGAGAGTGAGTTGTTTTGTCGTGACGTGCATACAAAAGACAAAGTTAATCGGTGTTTAGAACACCAATCTTTCATCTGTCATTTTCGACGGAAACACGGTAAATACTATTAAACATGTTTAAGTTAAAACTTTAAGTACACCAGAGGTGGCCACGTAAATTGAATTCAGAATACAACACCAATAGGATTCATAATATATCGAGCGAACCCAACATTTCTTGGCAAGCTTTAAGAAAGACGCTGCCAAATCCAATCCACTTCAAAAAGCTCCAGCTTCTCCAGCTTCTTCCTGTACGTGGCTATTTGGCTGCTGTGTTTATATGGCTGCACTGCAAATATCTTTTATTGTTGATGCGTAATTAAGATAATAGCAAAAGATTAAAGGTAAGACTTTAAGAAAAGATTGGTCTCTTATCTGCAATTGGCTGATAAAGCATTAGTGTTTTTATGCCCCATAATCTTGCCATGGGAAATAAACACTTGGAGAATCTGTTTGTTGGCTTCTATTCATGCAGCTCAACATGCAGTCCCATACTCATTCAAGTCCTATTATTAAACTCTATTCATTTTGAATGTGTTTGCTCCAAATACTTCGATTAACCGTTCAAACGTGGGCTAAAAGTATCTGATTGTTTGTGGCTTATAATCTCCTTTAGAAGTAGTGGATGGAAGTATTTGCGTGATTGTCACAGCTTGCCAAAGAGGCACCAAGAGCTCAAATAGCAGTCGTTTTAGGCAAAGAATTTGAAACTGCTGCCAGATAAATCTAGAAAGATCCATTGAACAACAGCGGGATCTATTATACAAGGACATCCAACGCGGTATGCTCTGTAAAGCGATGGGCCATCACTCAAGCCGCAATCCTTTTTGTAACAAGTCGTCGCGTAATTCTTTCTTCAAGTACTTCTGTATTTCAAGCAATTGCGCTCTTTTTATTCATTTTCTCTTTCCGGGATCCATATGGCTCTTTTATACAAGATTCAGGTCCTCATGTAGTTTACTAAATTAGTAAGATTTTAACATCCGCATACTTAGTCAAGTATAAAAACACCAGCTGGATACAGCTAAAGGTAATTTAACCACAAACTGAATCACTGATTCCTTTGAATCGAACCCAGTGGTTCACTAGAATATAGTAATGAAAAACACAGCATAACTGAGACAGTGACTGTAAGTAATGGTTATGAACTTTGACTGGGCACTCGTTGAATCCAGCCCCGTACTTCCGGTCAACCACAGAAAACAACTATGTGAATTAAATAAAGTACTTACTAAGTAAAACTATAATAGTCATCATGAAAGAATAATTGGTTTAACTGTTAATGAATCAAGAAACACTTTGCTCTTATGACCCATTCAACAAGGTGTTCATTAAGCACGATCCACAGAACTGAACACTTTACAGTGTACTGCTCTAGATATTTATCTTATCATCGATAAAGTATGCATATAATAAACACAAAAAAATCAAAAAAAAAAGCTAAACACCAATAGGTAGCTAAATACCTCTTCGTTGATAAACTGAAAACTCAGCCCAAACAATGCATCTTACATACTTCGACGCTTCTTATATACTTCAATACTTTGCAGAGAAAAAAGTGACAGACGTACAATAACGAGTGAAGAAAGGAAAATAAAATGATTATGTCGGAACAGTTAGCCCGATGTTGCCAAGTTAGACATATTTTTCAAATAAGGTGAATTAAGATGTCGATACCTTTGCTACTCTTTCATCTCGAGAAACGACATCTCATGCTATTTATAGCCCTAAGCTATCCATGTTCGACTTCTTCTTATAAGTAATTTAAATAAGAAAGTACTGAAACAGTCAAAAAATACTGCACCGCTTGAAGAAACTGTGCAAGAAGACTGACAACTTGTCGAGGAAAGACTGACATGGGCAACGACCAAGAAACGAACCTTCACAAATAAAACTAACAGTATTCAAAACTGACCCGACTTGCTTGATATTATTTTGACACTCGGAAACTCATTTATTTCAAATGCCCTTAGTGTGTAAATCGTTTTGGGACCCTTCCAGAGATATTTATATGGATGCGCGGATTTCTTATTTATTGCACATCTTTTCGCGGAGGTCTGTATTTTGTGGAGAATAGCAAAAATGAACACTCCTATTTCTCACCAAAAACGCATGGGAATATCTTTTATTACTATACGAATGGCATCTTGGTAATCAAGAAGGATGAAATGGCTGACATACTGAACAAATCAGTAAAAAAGATGTCTTACTGTAAGGGTTGTAAGTCTTCAGATGGTCATATGTTCATTGATGTTCAGTGAGTGATGCTAAAGACGCGCAAGGAAAATCCGCTTAGAAATAAACCTATCGAACGCAAAGCAAGCTTTTTCATTCTACTGCAGTTGAGTAGTAAGACGATTTAAGCAGTGATTAGTCGAAGAAGGTAAAAGTGTTGACTTACCCTGGTTGCATCCAAAGCAAAATTAACGCACTATTGATCCAAGTCAAGGATAAAACTCTATTGCATATGGATGGAGCTTAACTTTGTAGGCACAGAGAATATACAATACGCTTATTTGAACCAATTCCGAGCTCAGTATTCACCACAGCATGCAAGCACCAAAAATGCAAGGACGTAAATGGCTTGAGTTTGGAGAGTAAGATATGGTTGATTTAGTAAGAGATTAGTAGTGTTGACGTTGCAGTTCGCAGTAAAACTCCACCACTTTGGCAGGCCAGGGCTTTTTAGTACCATTTCACCACTAAATGGGCTACTTTATGTGCTGACAACATTTGCAATGTTTGATATGACACAAACGACTCCCAGTACACGCGGTCCTTCAGACCAACTTGCGTCACCTCAAGCTGTAAGCAATCGATGTAATTCCTCGTTCTCGTTCGGTTTAGTTCCAGCGGATAAACCACTCAATTCAAAAGCGCACTTGGCTATGCAACCAGAAAGACTAGATTAACAGCTTTCCCAGGTTTTTAGAAGCTTCGGTCTAATTTTTTCCCTCGCGTGCGAAGGGAAAATTAATATACTGATGAAATCGGCAAACAGCCACCTCTTCTTGTTTATGTCACTAAGATAGGACCAAAACCCTCGGAAATAAGCCTTTACTAATGATTCAACGTGTCTGTTTTGCCGTTGAGAGGGTCGGCCGAAAGTGGCACGTTTTTACGTATTGGGTCACAGTTCACACGCGTATGGTACGCTAACTTTGGACACTCGTTTCCCGATGTAACAAAAATAAGCATCATTTGTGTAAGATCACTTTATTTAAAGATTTTGTCTGAAACCCAGAAAAAACAAGGAAACTTCAGACCGCAGTTAGCTTCATTCTGTAGTAAAAAACATCAGTGAATGAAAACAAAAGGTTCTTGCAAGTTTTACAATCGGTTAGAAGAGTAAGAGCATTAATTCTCTGCACATAGTTTCATTCCAAGTTATTTTTGTTTTCGTCCGGAAAAATCTGGCGTCAGTTTTCCTAAGGTTACTTTGAAACAGAAAAATCTTGAAAGTTTTTTTCTGTGCTTTCAAGTGTACTTGAAAACTCTCAAACACTGAACTTGAGTTCTTTCCTCATTTGACTTTGAAATATCGTTAAGAACCGGCGTGGTTTTTGACGATAACGCCTAGCACAAGGAGAACGCCCTTGTTAACCCCATAACTGGAATCTCGAATTTCCTTCCCATCCAGCTTAATCCAGAAATGTAGGAAAGTTCAGACCAAAATCTTTGGATTAACAGCAAGAAATTACTAACGCTTATCACGCTAAACCGGGCAATGCAAAAGCAAGAACAATTAGAACTTTCATGCAACTTATATTAATACTGCTAGTTTATAAAAAGCGCACGTCAAAGAAAAAAAGGTGATTTTTCTGCCGAAGCTGTCTGCAAAGATTCAGAGGTATTGTGTTGATTTAGATCGGTATTATTCACGTCAGTTTTCGGTTCAAGTGGACTGATTCCCTTTCATTCCATCCAATGGTTCATCCTCTCTTTCATCCAAGCTAATCCAGGATTACATCTAATCTTCATTTTACAAAAGCATACACTTGCACGACTAAAATTGATCTTTTTCAGCTTACATTTACTTAACGTATAGATTTGTATAAATATCTAGTGGAAAGTAGGGATATGCTGTCCAAGTCGTTGATGTGGATTAGATCAACTTGTCCTCGTATTGTTCAGTAGCGTACTGGATGGAGTTAGAGCAGCTGGCGTAAGAAGAAAACAGTTTGTTGGCTTTTCGAATATCACTGGAATGTGAATTCGTTGCCAAAGACCAGTGGTGAGGACTGGATAGGACTGATTGATACCCCAACCTTGCTTGGCATCTTGGCGGTAAAATAGCGGCCAACCTTTGTTTAAATGCTTGCAGTTGACTAAGCCTGGTCAGTAATCTTTGATAATCTGACTGGTCTGATATCTGGCTTAGTCTAGTYGAATATATTGTCTAACAAGTCACGATAATGTTGACAATTGAATGCCAATGTAGGTTCCTATAGGAATATGCCACAGCAGAATAGTATTTTTTTGGCTCAAGCCTCAGAAGTACTTGTATAAGCGCGCAAAGAGTGATTGATGTACGTAGGTGATCCTGTGTTTACTTCACTTTTTCATAAGAATAATCTTGATAGTCAAGATTTCTTATTGGCCTTAATTTTGCCTCATATAATTGGTATACCATGAATCTTACTTATTTCAGTTCAGTTCTAAAATACTATTCGGGAACCTCTGTTAGACTGGGCTTTGGGTATTGCATATGAAGTCTTAGTCTTTTTATCTTGGTTTCTAAATATTAAGCTCTAGTTTCTGAATCAAATGCTGCGTAAAGTACTTCCTCCATGCGCCTCATAAACCCGCCTATCAGTCAAGTAAAGCCGAAGACTTAAACATGCAGCATTTGGTATATATAGTGCTGATCATAAAATAACAAGCTTGACTAGATTATTTTTTATCTAATTGAAAATCAATAATTTTCCCAATAAGACAGCAACTCCGCTTTTCTGAACGCTGCTATTCGCCGAGTCCACCATGTGCGAGCAATCGATAGCTAGCTGTTACAGGGCAATTACTTTTAAAGAAATATTCCTAAATTAGCGGATGTGGGGGATTGCGGTCAGTACTGCTTGTGGTTTCTGTCCTACTAGCCTTACCGGATTCGGAAACAATTCACTGGAATTTGCTCATGAAACGATTTCACAAGCATTATTCAGAGTTTTGCTGACAAGCTGCTATTACCCCTTGGAAGTTGTTTATCCTCTAATACGCTTTCTTTAGTCCACTACTTGTTAACAGAAGGAAGCAGTCAACAACGCAAATGTATATATTTTAAAGGTACAAAATCTATGCTCCGAATACGTCCTGTTTACCGTTATACGGATAATCTAAATCTAGAGTCTGCTCTTTTGTACTCGGCGATGCCGAAAATGGATTTACAGGTCACTCGGAAGCAAACAAAGTAGTTGTTATTTGCACCTTGTACATCACTTTTTCGCTAATGACTTCGATAAACATCATCTGATTTTATAAGCTTATAACTTGAGTGTAAATTGTGAGTGAAAGACGCCTTATAAATAAGTTATTTGCAGTTAAAGGTTAAGCTGATAAAATTTCAGGGTATCTATCTCAATGCTATTTTTTTAAATCTAGTCTGGACTTTCCCGGCCAGTTCATAGAATGAGATGCCCGCCTGTACTCAATAAGCATCTTCTACTGTGTGGAATATCGAACCTAGGTTTCCCAAATAAATATTTAAGAATATCAAGATTCAGTTGGTCGATGAGGCTATTTAAAAGCAACCAAATGCGTCTTCTCGTTTTGCTTAATACTGAGGAAATGTACGCCCTGCTTTCTCCTATTAGTTAATTGAAGGGAAAAATCAAAAGCCCGAGCCAAGAATCATTTTAATTTCGGTACGATCTTTCACCTAATTAGGTATCAAGATTTGCCCGGGTTATGTCAGAATAACAGACTGAACTATCGATCGATTGAATTGACAGACTTATCCGAAAGATATACAATAAGACAAGTTAACTTACCTCAGAGATTAGACGATGGTTGGACGTTTTTGTGAAAAGTTTCAAAGGAAAACCAATAAGCTGCAATCCAATAATGACAACGGATATTAGATACTTTATTGTAGCCAAAGAAAAATATAAGCAATAACAACGTGAAACTTCCTAACACAAACCTAATTAAAGATTCAAGGCCTATCATATCTGATTTTAGAGGGTATAGTTAGTGTACAAGATTACCTTGAAAAGAGAGCACAAGTAGACGCAATGTTTAAGAGTGGATCCAGAACGCAACTAAAGAAGATTTTAAAGTAGTTTGCGTATCTGCTATCCTCACAGCAGTATCTCAAGTTGTCGTGTCTTGCTGTAGCCCAATCGTTTCTGTGGCCTGCTGGGAGAGAACTTTATTTGACAGCGTAAATCAAGCACCGCTGCTCAAAAGAATTCGTGATTTGGAGAAGGTGACAATTGACTTAGCAGCAGGGATTCGTATAAAAATGCAAATCCTTGCATGGAATGGTTCTTTTCCACAGGTTCTGTGAAAGAAGATCAAMATTTACAAAACCACACGCAAAGCCTGCGCGAGATCATGGAGCGAGGATGTCTTGTTCATTTGATACAATAAAAATTTCTATGAATATTGTTATACAAACTTGTTCTGTAAAGATACAAAATCCAACGCCGCCTGTTATACTAGTAAGGCAATCCGTGGTCCTGTTTTGGGATATGATTCCCTTTGGCGTGAATCTCAAACGCTGAACGAGCAATCTTATTCCTTTTATTTTCTTTAAGTTATCGCTAACATCACCTGAAATGCACGCTCTATAATCGATAGCCTGTTCACGGTAAATCAGTGTTCCTTAATTCGCAGTTTAAAGCTAAACTAAGAAATTGATTTTTAAGAAACAATTTTGTTATGAGACTAGACATTTCTTTGATGCCCTAACACCAGCTTTAATAGAAACAATTCACGTGCTTTTGTCTTCAAAAGAATTCGGTGTAGTTAGTGTATGTTGAGAAAAGTTTGTTTGAATTTCCGTGACCACTTTTTTAAACAGCAAGAAATAAAAAACAAAAAAAAACAAAACAAAACAAAACAAAAACAAAAACGGAAAGACAAGCGATTTGGCAGCAAAAGATTTTGTGTTGGGTGATTTACAGTAAGATCGTTGAACTTCATGAAACTAAGGCTTTTAGAAAGGCTGGCGTGTATACCTGAATCGCGATTTTAGAAGATATGTATGACGTGATATGCGTGATGAGGAAGTTACTGAAAATATCCCATGTGTCTGACTAAAACCCTCTTAACATGCTACATAGCATGACAGTGAAAAAAAACTAACCAAATGCCAACACTTAACAGAAGAAATATTGCCTGTAAAAGTGAACTACATCGAATATCTAATAAAGTGCAAAACGCAACACGGCTTTTCGGTCTATTGCTTGTTCTTAGTGTTAGTCGATCCCAGAAAAATTCTTTCTTCACTAATATATATTGTAAACAAACTATAGAGGGCCGTAAGTTGGATAACGCACTGGGCTAAAACGTGTTTATTTTAATTGTATTGTATTGTATTGTATTGTATTGTATTGTATTGTA